TAAAAGACTAAGAAACTGAACCCATACTAAACGGGGATGGGGGGAATTCTTTGCTGATTGCTGGGATGTTGGGGGTGGGTGAGGGGAGGGAGGGGAAGATGGAGCATAGGGCAGGGATTAGACACATGATAGTTTGGGTGCTGGGGAGGGGGGCAATATACAAGAATGGAGAGGGAAATGGAAGAATAAAGCAGATGGGAGAACAGGCAGATTTGAGTGGGCTAAGTGGGACAATGGTAAATAATGGTGTATGCACAACCTTGGAACGACAAGGCTCTGGGATACAGAGATTGAGACATGGTTGGAATGGGGAGAAGTGGGGCATAATGTTAAGATGATTGGCTGTCTTTTGAATCTTGGTTTTCCTTGCATTATATTATAAAACAGACACTGGAGGGGGAGAGAAAGAATTAAAAAAAAGATTTACAGCCTTAGAAACCCTATACAGGATTGCTGTGAGTTGGAACCGACTCCACAGCGCATAACCCGAAACTATAAAACCCAAAAGAAAGCATAAGAGTAAATTTTTGTGATTTTGCTAATGGGAATGTAAAATGATGCAACTACCAGCTGTTCCACGGGAGAAAGATGAGGCTTTCTGCTCCTGTAAAGATTTACAGCCTCGGAAACCCTGTAGAAGATTGCTGTGAGTCAGAACTGACTCCCACGGCACATAACCACCACCACCACCAATTTCAAAAACAGTTCATTTCTTACAAAGATAAATGCATCATGCAATCCAACAATTCTACTTCTAGGATCTAGAAGAAACAAAAACTCATGTCCATACAAAGGCACATGAATGTTTATAACAGTGTTATTATTCATACAAGTGACTTTACAAAGTTCATGGAAAAACTCCATATTTTTGTATTTCAATTTTTTCCACAAGCTTCTTGAAGTCCCTTTGTAATAGCCAAAAACTGGAAATAATTCAAATGTTCTTCTACTGGTGAATATATAAACAAAATGTAGTATATCCATACAATGGAATACTAATCGCAGTTAAATTGAACAAATTACTGATATATCAAATTTCATGAATGAATCTGAAAACATTATACTAACAAAAAGAAGCATGAAACAACAGAATATAGTGTCAATCTGTTTATGGAGTCCTGGTGTGGCACTGTAGAATAAACAGTAAACTCTTACTTATAAGATTGGCAGTTCACACCTACCACCTGTTCCTCCGAAATTGGCTCGATGGCATTTAACAACAATAATTTATTTAATATAAAATTTCTAGAAAGCCAAGCTCTCAAGATACAACTTAGAGTAGTAGCTGCTTGGGGTTTGTATTAGGAACACAGATTGAATCTAGGTGGGTTTAAGGGGAGTAGTGGAGTTGTTTTAAAAGTAGACTGTGTAAATTTACAAAAAAATCTTCAAATTGAATACTTACAATGGGTACATTTTTATATAATATATAAATTATAGCTAAATCAAAAGTTCACTTATAAAGTTTTGTTTATAGAGGCCTAAAAGGAAATAGACCAAAATACTAATAATAGTATTGATGGTTTTAGGATTACTGGTGATTTTTTTTCTTTCTGTGTTTTATCGAGTTTTCAGATTTCATCTAATGAGTATGAATTAATTCTTCTCTTATTTAAAAAAATTCTTGTCATTGTATTGGGGAGAAAAATAATTTTTAAGTTTCAGAAATAATTTTGAGAAAAAAAATAGAGATTCAAAAAGTTGTTTATTGACTTTTTAAAGAAATCAAACTAGGAATAAAATTAGAGTTACTTACTTTTCATAAATCAAATTATGTTTATTTTCTGTAATTCATTTTTTTCCCTCCTAGTGTATGTCTGGATTCTATCAAGAGGCCAAAACTTTGTTGAAATCCTACTTACAGCAACATGGCTATGGCTCCTGGATTGTGAAGTCTCCCTGTATAGAGCAATTTAGCATGTGAATTAGGCAATCTTTTGTCATATTAAAAATCTTGTACTTTTTGGTGTATTTGACTAGTAAAGATGTTTTTAAAATATTAATGGCTTTCAGCTCTTAAAATCAAGGTCTTACCAACAACAGTGTCCAGAGGTTGCTAAGCATTTGTTACATATTCATGTTACTTTACATTAAAATATTAAGGGTTTTTAAATTTTCACTCATTGGAAAAAGAAATACATGATTCATACGTAGCATTTTGTATTCATTTTTATAGTCATTTTAAAACCATCACTTTTTTTTATGTGAGTTTAAAAAGAAATTTCATTTGCTTATAATACTTGTACTGTAAAGTATTTTGCTTTAATTATAAAGCTATCCATGTACCTAAGGTGTTCAATATTGTATAGCCATCTCATTCAAGTGTTGTTTTGTTTTTTTAATTAAAAATTACAAGTCAAGAATATAAATAGTAATTCTTATTCATTTGTTGATTATTTCAACAGGCATTTGAGGGCCTGTTGAATTGTTGTTGTTAGGTGTCATCTAGTGGGTTCTGACTTATAGTGAGTCTAGACACAGCACTGCGCAGTCCTGCACCACACTGACGATTGTTGTGTCAGTCTATCTTGTTGGGGGTCTTCCTCTTTCTCTCTGACCATCTACTTTACCAAATATGATGTCCTTCTCCAAGGACTGGTCCCTTCTGACAACAAGTCCAAAGTATAAGAGATAAATCTCACAATCCTGCCTTCTAAGGGTCATTTTTGCTAGGTGATAGTAAAAAGACAGTAACTAAAGTATTATCCAATATCAAAGAAGTTCATAAATGAAAACTCTACAAATAACTGTAGAAAACTGCTAATCATATTAGGAAATAGTTTGATAAATCAGTTATTTTAATTAAGGAGGATTATCGTATATGTCCTGGTGTGGCACTGCAGGATAAACAGTTGACTGAGAGGTCGGTTTGAACTGAAAGGTTGGAGGTTCAAACTCATCAGCGGCTCCTCAGAAACCCTATTCAGGGTCGCTGTGAGTCGGGCTAACTTAGTGCTAATTGACAACAACAACATCATCATATATGCAAGAAGACATGGTGGTGCAATTGGTTAAGCACTTATCTGCTAACCAAAAGGTTTAGAGTTTGAATCTGCCAGCCATTTCATGTAAAAAAGAAAAGTTTGGTCCCATAAAAATTTACAACCTCGGAAACCCTAAATGGAGACGTTCTACTCTGTCCAAATCAACTCATCAGCAATGGGTTATTTGTGGAGATCATATATATTTTATATAAGATTGAAAATTTCAAATGTTCTATAAGATCCAATTTTCCCAAATATAATTGAATATAATTCAAATTAGTTGTTGTCAGGTGCCATCAAGACGGAACCGACTCATAGCGACCCCATGCACAGCAGAACGAAACAATGTCCGCTGTCACACTTGAGTCCATCAATGATGCCACTTGGCCAATCCATCTTGTTAGGGGTCTTCCTCATTTTCTCTGACCCTCCACCTTACCCAACACGACATCCTTCTCCAGCGACTGTTCCCTCTGGACAATATGTCCAAAGTATGACAGATGAAGCTTAGCCAT